ACGTCAGCTATAAACCAGCTACTATAAACCTGTACAATTCCTTTCGTATAGCAACAAACTACAGCCACTCTGCCTATATAATTATCCTAATATAAATACAAAATACAGTCAATATGCCTATATAAATCCTTTGATAGAACAGCAAAATACAGGCTATATGCCTATACTATTTATATAATACTGCCGTGAAATACTATATATTGTAAATATTCCGTAAATATATATATATATTGTACATATGGCATATTTCATAAGCAAGCCTTATTCAGAAATATGGCATATTTTAGAAATATGGCATGTTTTAGAAATATGGCATGTTTTAGAAATATGGCATATTTTAGAAATATGGCATATTTATGGCATATTTTTAAATATGGCATATTTCAAACAAAAAAATTCTATATACCAAATACTATTATTTTTGCCGTATTTCTGAAATCAAAACGCGTATTACGTATTTTTTCGAAATTTCGAATTATATTTCATATTTCATATTTAACATTTTCAGTGCATATTTATTGTTTTAAAATAATAATATGCCTATTTTTCGCCATATTTATTATCGAAATATATGTGCTCCTCGGTACAGAGAATATTTAACTTTTACAGTTAACAGTCTCAGAGATAAAAACTACACTATTTGTTTAGTATCTACTCATTACTCTTAATACTCTTAAGAGTATACAAAGAGCCTTAGAGTCATACGCTCTACTAGAGGCTATGGAGAATTGGAGAGGAGGCTCTCTCTCAGTCTCAGACTCTCTCTATCTCTACTCTAGAGAGTGGAGTCATTTCCACTTTCCACTCTCGAGTCTCCACTCTCCACTCCACTCTCCGCCTCACACACACTTTACAGTGTTACATATATACAGACTACAGTCATACACAGTTTTTAGATACATGCAGTATAGGTGTTGGCTGTTGATTGAGTGTTGAGTACTTGTTGTGAGTTTTAGTGATGGCACAACAATTGTGGCAGTTGATCATTTTCATTGTAACCAATAAAAGTGACACATAAGAGGAAGTTAATTTTTTTTAAAGTCATATGAACACTGCTCTGCGCTTTACTCAAACAAAACTTTAAATAAAAGAATCCAGCTCATTACTCAGACTTACAGCTCACTGTGATTGACTTCATATTTTAATTTTTATTTACATCATTTCATTATATTTCGTAATTTTTATTTTCCAAATAAATTTTAATTGTTTTCTTATTTTTTGTTTTTAAAAAACCAAAATATTTTGTTATACATATATAAATTGTTCTATGTACCTGTTGATCTTGATTTTTGAACTGGCTCAGTAGCTTCAGGAGCCTCCAGCTGGGCCGCGGGCCCAGCACCCCAGCCGGGCCGCAGGCCCAGCGTCCCAGCACAGCCTCCATTATATTTTAAAATAGCTAAATAAATAGAGAGAGGCACTAAAACTCACTACTGTACCGCTCTCTGTTTCAGAGAGTGATTTAAAAAAGTCGAAAGTTCTTCACTTCCCAGTTTCCCACACTCCCAACTGTCACTGTGGAACTCCCCAGCCCCCACTCCCAGTCTCCCAGAGTGTGGATTTTCATTTCAGTGGTTTGACTGGCCTAGTGTCGCCCTGCTGGCTCAGGTTAGTGGTTACTGCTGGTCTCTCTACTACTACACCTACTACTCTTAAGAGTAGAGAGAGTAGAGCCGGTGCCAGACTGCCCTCATATACAATCAACACGGTGAAGAGTGAAGACACACGCACAATTGTGAAAGAAGTGTACATATCTCGCTCTCTAATATGTAGGACATATTTAGAGTCGAACCAGTGGCCGGTATCCTGGGCTGGTAAAAGAGGCCGACATTTGGCAAAAACACATGTCAGACATGTCGGCACGACATTTTGTCAGACATGACAGTCGGCTTCGGGTGTCGGCGACAGACCTAGTGTTGACCCAGACCTGACTGTCGCAACACTAAACGACAAGCGCTACGTGTCGCGGCGACATTTTTTCTTAGGTGTACGTCGTTGTTGGATGCCAACCCAGCCGATATCGGCTTGTCGACTGTCGGCTGTCGCACGCAAGATGCTGCGAAAAATGCAGTACAGTATGTGTTGGCACCGCCAAGTGCCAGCTGTCTTATGTTTTTAAAATACTGTTTGGTATTTACTACTGTTATACAGTCATAGTCAGTACTTTTTTGTTTTTTACAAAAACAATGCAGCCATACATGTGTATTAAATACAGAATATTTCAGGACACTTTTGTTAAAAAAAATAAAAGCCGAAGCCCGAAAGACGTATTTCTGTTTCATTTTTAGATTTTAGAAGGCTATGGTATTCCATTATAAAACGTTCAAATATTTTTGAATACTATAAAAAGTAAAATCACATGAACAAACTTCTCAAAGATACGAAAGCAAAGGAAAAAGAACAGAATACTAAAGAATAAATACAGATAGCAAAGTTATCAGAACAAATTTCTCAAAGATATCAATTTAAAAAGGAAAACTACAATATATCATGTCATTACCAAGCTTGGAGATGCGCGAATCTCAAGTCGAATTGGCTTTGGACACAAAATCTAAGCAGCATAATATGAATGGCGATACAATGTCAGTTCAGTCAACCTCCGATGATAATCTAACTGACGAGCTGAAGCATGGTTCGGGTGTACTCGGAACAGTCATGAATATGACTAACACAATCATCGGATCAGGGATTTTGTCCATTCCATATTCTACTGCACAGGTTGGGTGGGTACTTGCACTTGTGATCATGTTTATTGGTGCAACAATGACAATGTTCGGACTGCATCTGCTCAATACCATCGCGGATCGTATTGGAGGTAGAAAAACCTCCTTCGGCGATGCCTGTCGCCAATCATACCCGTGGTTAATGCTCGTGGCTGATTTCCTTGTATTCTTTACAATGTGGTCAGTATCAGTCATATACATGACTATTGCGTCGAGTATTCTGCCCGATGTGATGCGAGCATTCATTGGTGATGATGTCAGTGGTGATGCCTTCTACCTGCAGACGTGGTTCTGGCTTATAATTTGCTGGGGCTGCTTTGCAGCACCCTTGTCTATGCTCAAGTCACTCTGGTTCCTTGCGTACACATCGATGGTGGCTGTACTCTGCGTACTCTGGACGACATTTGTTGTGTTCGCCTATAGTGTTGATATCTTCGATCCCTGTGATGGAAAAGCAAGTGATTGTCAAGGTGATGCGGTGGCAGCTATCTGGGATTTCGGTGCGATAATGCGCGCCTTCCCTGTTTTCGTCCTTGGATTCTGTGTAGGCCCGGTTCTATTCAACATTTACAACGCAATGGACCACCAGACCACGAAGCGCATGGACATATCTGCTGGCATTACCATAAGTCTTGTGACTGTATTGTATACGATCATCGCCCTCTGTGGTTATTTCACCTATGGCGAGAATGTCACTTCCAACATTCTTGATTCCTACCCCATTTCGGTACCTGCATCCATCGCTCGTCTCGGAACGGCTTTTGTAGTCACGGTGTCATACCCTTTGCTGATGCATGCGGCTCGTGACTCAGTCGTTCACGCTGTCGGCACCGTTGTGACCATGTGCGGGAAGAAAGATGTGGGTGTTGCTCTCACGGACAGTAGCACTAAGAATGGAAACATCATGTTCTACGTTTTGGCAGCTCTATTGAATATTGTTGCTTTGGCATTTGCATACTTTCAGATTGATATCAACACGTTGCTGTCTATTACTGGAGCCATCGGAACAGTCAATCTGAGTTTCACGCTCCCGGCTGCAATTTACTGGAAAATGTTCGAGGAGGATGGTATGACACTTCGCCGCATTCTTTGCGTACCCTTTGGCATATTCGGACTGGTAGCCATGTGCATTAGTTTGTGGGCGAACTTCGCCTAAGAGTACCACTAAATAAATTATTTTTTTTTAAATACGTGTTACAGAATGGTAATTTTATTGTTTTTTATATACAAAACACCCAAAAAAGGTAATTCTGTGAAGCCTTTTTTGAATCTATATTGTTTGTTCTGTACAGAATATATAAAATAAATGAAAAACACATTTAGTGTTCAATTTAGAAGGAGGCTGTGATTTTAGTCCGCAAAATTTCCACTTTCACACATATTTTTTAAAAATTAAAAATACATATATACGTCAAAAGGGAAAAACCCCTCCTCGAGTCTCTCGACCCCCCACGGGCACGCCGAACGGGCCACGGCCCCACCCGGCGGCTAAAAGCTCAATACGTTTTGCCTATGTGCTATAAACGCTAAACGTAAATGTAAAAGGTTTTGGTTTTTTTTAAGAGTTTTAAATCGAAAATGAAAATTATACAAAATTGCACCTGAGAAATTGACCTTTTATAATGAAAAAACGATTTGAAACTATTCACAACTGACACAAAGTGAAAAATAGGGCAATTCGTGACCGGTAGGCTGCCTAAAAATAGTGTACCTATATGTAAACCCATAGGACTATATTTAGGATAAGCCTTAAACGTAGACGCTTTTTGCGTTTTAACGAGAAACGTAATGAAGTTAGGCCGGCGGGCAACTATAAAAAATATATATATATATTTTATTCGTTAAGTACCGCAGTCAGCTGTTCCCAGAGTCCGAGTCTCCCAGAGACCCAGACCAAATGCAACCTAAATAAATATAAAAATTGAACAGTGAACCGACTCTTCGTCTTCCTCCTGTGGTTCTGGGTTCACTCTGGTCGGCGGTTCCAGAATCCAGAGAACCAGACTGACAGATGAGTCCCAAATTCAAAACTAAGTCCTAAGTCCCAAATCCCAGCCCCTGAGGGCTTACCTCAATAAGTTAAGCGTTATAACTTTTATTTATTAAAAAGTTACCGTTAAAAATCCTACGTTTATAACTGATAGGTCATGTCTGATATATGATAGATACTTTTTTCAGGTCATGATGGTCTCAGATATTTGTCCTGTTTTTTTAGCGCGCCCATTTACCAATACCCCCGCCACTTTCCATTTTAGCATACAACTTGTAACTTATTTTTGTGGTATGTGTTCGTTCAGAAGCTTCTCTGAGAGGCTGAACGCCTCTCAGAGCTGGCAATATGTGCAAAGTCTATGTGAATAGTATATACTTAGGACATTGTCTAAAAGATACTTTCATAGTTGTTGATTGTGCATCGCAGAGACTAAAGTTCTATTAATAGAACTAGACCAACTCTTATGTTTGGTATTCTACTGGGGCCTTTTAATGGCCTCGTCCAAATGATATGTGAAATGGAAAAGGTATTAATTAATAAAAGCATTAAAACCCATTTTGGAAAAATATATGGAACATTCGATAGTAACAGTGTTTTGTCAACACCGGCCCGAATTGACTCAGCACATATCTTCCATTGTCGACTCACTTGGCCCAAGCTTCAAACGGGAATTTACTGACCA